ATTTTTAAAAAAAAAAAAACAACCAAACAACTAGGAGAGAGAGAAAGAGAGAGACTTTCGAAGAAAAATTCTCATTACAATCCAACTAATACTCGTGTTTCGAATTATTATGTGTCATATTGTTTCGTTGCAAAATCCCAATAAATCATTCATTAATTTGTAATTGTTCTTGTCAATGAATACATTGATATTGTTTAAAAAGATCTTTCTTGAGAAATTAAAATTCAAACACATTGCTAAATACTATGATCTACTAGTGTTTGATTTAAAATACGATATTTTTTTTATAATAATTAACATTTAGTATACATTTTTTTTAACGTTGAAAAAAGAGTATATGATACCAATATATCAGTTAAATATTTAGCCTAAACTAAATGTACAATAAGTTTCCATGGAAGTATTAACTTTGCGTTAAAACAATAAATATTACTATGTCTTGTATTTTCTAAACAAAAGCTAAATGGGATAATTTTTATTTTGCAAGAAAATGATGAAATATTTTGTAAAACTCAGGAGCTTCTGTGTCCTCACCAGCAGGCACGTAGTTTAGGGGGGCCAGGGGGTGGCCTGTCCAAACCTCCCTCTTATTTCCAAGAGTTATCTCCCAAATAAATAATCAAACAGAAATATGACTATATTCCTAAAATAATTTTCATAATCTATATTCTCTCTCTATGGCTACAAAGGAAACACAATCAAAAGTGTAGTTTCCCTAGAAATCTAATGCAATACTGAAAGTGGACTATAGGAATTACCGGTTACCGTAATATTGCTTTCAGTAGTACTATAAATAATTACTAATGGACACACTTCAGAACAAGACTTATCCATACCTCACACTTGTAGGGTCTTTCTTCATCATTCAAATGAATCCTGGAATGTTTCCTCATATCGTAGGTACTGGCAAACAATTTCCCACAAGTCTCACAGGCAAATGGCCTCTCTGAGCTGTGCCGCTTGACGTGTTTTCTCATGGTACTGGGGTCACGGAAAGCCATGCCACATACTTTACAACAGTATGGTTTTTCTCCTTTATAAAAAGAAATGATGAAGTTAATCAATATGGCCTAAATATTTATGAAAGCTATAATATTGTACATTGTTGAAATCTTGAGTGATTTGTGCATCAAATAGATAGATACTATTTTAATTGTTTTCTATCAAAACTTTTGTTTCTATGAGACTGAAAATGGTGGAAATTTTCAAAAATTTTCTTTTGGTTTCTTTTAATAACTTTTTTGTGGACTACAAAATTCAAAATTCTGAAAATGCTCCATCAATATCAAAGCATCCAATTCTCCAGAGAATAAAAGTATTTGGTGGGGTTGCAAATATTTAAACACTCGCCCACTAGCAAATGCCAGTAATTTTGTCTGTGGGCAACCAACTGTTGAAGAGGTAATTGCCCTCATGGCAAGAAAGAATTTTAGCACAACTTTTCCAGAACCTGACCATGCTTTCATTCTACAACTAAATGCATTTTCATTTCACTCTTTCCTACCTACAAAATCACTGTTCTCTAGACCCCAAATTGCTTTATTAATAACTAGAGGTCTTCAAAATGAAGGAAAACACAAAATTTCATGTACCGGGTAATTTCATCCATTCATGGTTTCTCGGTAATTGGGGAAATGAGAGACTATGGACAGCAAAGTTTTCTTCTCAGAAATTAAAATACAAAAAGATTGAGAATTTCTTACAAAGTAAAGAGAAAATTGTGGGCCTCAAAATATCAACATGGGCTAATAAAACTTGTAAACTTGGGGGCCCACATGGCCCCTTAGGTTTTAATTGTCATTTGCAACCCTGTTTGAACAATATGAAGGCAGGCATTTACCCTATGCATAAATAATTCATTTAAGGAGTAAGCAAATAATGTACTGACTTAATTTACACAAAAAAGTCAGAAAATTAAAAATTGATATCTTAAAAATTAATTTGACAATACCAGTGTGAATTGTTTTATGTCTCTTTAGTGTGATTTTCTCAGCAAAAGACTTTCCACATTCATCACACGTTAGAGCCAGATCCTTGTTGTGAATGCGATTATGTCTCTTTAAGGATTCATACAATTCATACGAGTTACTGCAGGAGGAACATTTAAAGGCCTTTTTATCATCATGTGCATATCTCATATGAGAGGCATAACTCCGCCTAGAATCATATGTTGCCTGGCAATGACAACAAGTGTACATGTCGGAGATTCCGTGAACATCTTGTATGTGATCCTTCAACTCGCTCTGCCAGAATTTCTCATAACAATGATCACACGTCACTTTTCCTCCACATTTCTTGGTCTGACCAGATGGACTTTCATCTTCATGGAATGAATCATCTTTGATCTTCTTTTTTGCTCGAGATTCTCTCAAGGAGAATGTACTGTTGTCCTGACATTTTCTGATGTGGAGAATGTAAGCTGAACTATTGCTGAAGTCTTCTCCACACAAATCACAGTGGTTATCCACCTCTTCTACGACTATCCGCCTTGGCTGGCTCTTTCGTCGGGATTTCCGTGTCTCAGGAATTTCAATGTTTTTCCCTTTAATACTACAAGGATTTTCTTGTTTTTTCTTCTGCAACTGTTGGTTTTCAGAAGGTTCACTTGTAGAATGATCTTCAGAATCAACATTCAACTCTTCTGTAAATTTGTCCATGTTCACTCCCTCAGAATATTTTCGTATGTTAGGAGACCCCACCTAAAAAACATTTGCACAAAAGTTTGAATCATATGTCACACTATTGGAATAATATTCATTTTCAACAAGCATCCTCAATTGTGCATATTAAAATATTTACATTTATTAATTTACAGCATGATGAACTGTGACTTTTCAAGTTATTGAATTCAATAATGACCACAATAGTTACGTGTATTGTAACAGGAGAGGAGAAAAATGCGACAGACCAGACCGGTATTTGAACCCAGGCCCCCTGAATCTCCAGTCAGGTGCTCTACCAACTGAGCTATCTGGCCACCAGCGATCGAACCCGTCTGACCGCCACATTCCTCCCTCCTTAAAGGTCTTCAGCCCTCAAAGACACCAACCTAGGCTCTTCCCTGGCAGGTCTTTCACCTGTCACTTTCAGGGCATGGCACGGCACCAATTGTAACGGAGAGGAGAAAAATGCAACAGACCACACAGGGATTCTATCCCGTGCCCCCTGAATCTCCAGTCAGGTGCTCTACTAACAGCTATCTGGCCAGCAGCAATCGAACCTGTCTGACTGCCACATTATATTTTTATTGTAAACTTGAAACAACAGATCAAATGTTATTAATAATCATCTTTATTGTACATTTACATTTCACAGAACACTGTATTTTTCCTCATAAACTTCAGACATTCAGTGACAGTATACATTATTGAGTGGGTTCAAGGGCAACATACGTTTTATCGGAACCAAGAACTAAACTGTTTCCCTGATGCTGTATGTTATGCAAACAGTTTGGTTTGAGCTACATGTACCTAGGGGTTGAAAAAAAACACATTTTGTCAAGATATATAATATTATTGCTTCGAGGAGTTACTCAGTTTTTCTTTGGCAGTCAAGCAAGTGTTAAGAAGTTACTCATTTATTAGAGCACCTGTTAAGTGTTTAGAGATCATCAAAGGGCCTGAGCTTGAAGCCATCACAATTTTCTCCCTTCCTGTCAAATTTGCTCCTGTTGACTACTCCTGGACTTGCAGGCGAAAGTTCTGCCAGAGGCAAAAAATCTGGGTTATGTGTCTTTGGGGGCAAGACATTTTAGTGGTGCATGAGGAATATGGCGCTCAAGCAAGTTAAATCACCAGTTGCCACATAGCTTGGTTGGTATCAGAGCACCTGTGCACAGGGTCCTGGGTTCAAAACAGTGGTCTGCATGCTTAATTTTATATACACGTATATTATTTTCGAGATCATTTCTTCTCATTACATTTTTTAGCTTGATTATATATTAATCTGAGGTTAACTGGCATATATAGTACTTCGGAATTAATATATATGTAGGAATTTAGGCTGGACTGAGGACATCGGCCTGGATAGCTCAGTGGTTAGAGCACCTGACTAGTAATGCAGGGGTCCCGGGTTCGATTCCCAGTCCAGCCACATGTTTTTCATTATATATATATTTATGAATTTTCAATGTATATTAACTCATTCCTCCTTTCCCTACTACAGATGGTGCCGTGGCCTACCTTGTTCAGGCAATATAATAAATAATATATAATTAATGTTAAGTCCTGACAAGGTGAACTTGTGTTGTGTCTTCGGGGGCGAAGACTATTTAAGGAGGGAGGAATGTAGGAATTTAGGCTGGACTGAGGACATCGGCCTGGATAGCTCAGTGGTTAGAGCACCTGACTAGTAATGCAGGGGTCCCAGGTTCGATTCCCGGTCCAGCCACATGTTTTTCATTATATATATATTTATAAATTTTCAATGTATATTAACTCATTCCTCCTTTCCCTACTACATATATATATGGACATTTAAAAGCTGCATGAAAGACACTTAATTGAGTGCAAGTTCCTAGACTAACATTAACATCATGTATGACAACATTTAAAAAGTAATACATGTCGCATATAAGCATTAGCCAGAGACAAAAATAACACATTTATGTTATTTATCTCTCTGCATTCATTATAATGAATTACAATATTATAAACATAGGTCTGCACAGCTGGGTGGGGCATATGTGATCTGATCAGAACTAACACATTTCTCTCCTGTGCTGCCGACTGCAGTAACATTTTACCTGATAATACGCATTTGTGCAATTATTTTCGTACCCTGTTGAAAATAAACACTTAAAAGAATTAAGAAATGTAAAATCGAGGGCATATGTCAGTCTCTGTCAATCCGGAAGTCAATGTGCGCAGCTGCTGATTTATGTGACATGCACTTCCGCTCACGTACGAAATGACAACAAGACAGAACCCAGTTCAGTTTTTCTACATGTTTTAGTGTAAGATGTAAAACGTCTATTGAAAACAGTAAATATTTGAGAGAAAAATGGCGGTAAGTATTAGATACAGGCATGTCATTAATGCAATGAACACAATCAACAACTGGTCAAGATTTAGATACGTTGGCTGGTAGGCACAGAGATAAATACTCAGCGTACGCCTCGTGTATCATTGACCAACGTGTTCTGAAGGCCACAGAAGGTCTATGCACACACTTAACCAAGTGATCTCAATCTAGCTGCTCGTAATTTTAAAGAAATCTAGGCTAAGTGTCAATATTTCTAAAACCTTACAGTATCATAAAATCAATACCAGGAGAGAAAATAATGGAGCGAACTGTGTTTAAGTCTCTTTTCAATCCATTTGTTTTATTTGTCAACTAAATAACCCTAGGGTGCAACAGGAAATAACACAATAATTTACCTACCAAGTAGTATGTATAACCATTAACCAGATGACTTGCACACAGAAGAAGAAAAAAAGTAATGCAGACAGATATATATATATATATATATATATAAGAGGAAGATGTATGATCCAAAATTTGTTTGATCTTGGTCTTAATTTAAATTATGTGCATAAATTGTATGTGTATTGTGTTACTTATTTTGTCAGGATCATCCTCCAAGTGGGGGGTCCACTGACACAGAGGGTGTGGCAAAAAGTCCAGCATCATCAAAGGTAGTAATCTTTATTGCATATAGAAAAAAAAAATGAATTCATTGCTCAAGTTACTTCCTCATGCAGGTCAACCAGAAGTCAATCGGAAAACCTTATATACTTTTTCTCCGTATTACAAAGTACCTGACCTTAATACATGTATGATATACACGTATCTCTATGAATTACAGGTAAATTTGATGACATGTCATACATATGTATGCGTATCACCTCCTTGAGGCAATATGACATTTAAGGAACTTTTTTTAATGAGAGATGAAAACCGATTCTGACCAAAAAGTTGCAAAAAGGCAAGAGAGGGGGTGGGGGATGGGGAGGGGTATAATTTTTCTCAACTATCAGATCTCTTAATCCAAAAAAAGTATACTAACAAGTTATCATGGCTATATACATAGATTATAAGAGGGCTTTTTAACATGTCAAATTAGTTGGTAGGATCCATGATGATTTAGTTGCATGGATTCCTATTTAATGAGGATATACACTAGTGGCTATTATCTCAGTTAAACAAAAAAAAACTATCTTTTGTACTTATATGGGCTGAAGGCCAAGTCTAATATCTGAAATTTAGTAAAGAATCAAAATTTGATAAACACAGTTTTTTTTTAAGATGTCAAGTAGTCATGAAAAGCTGTATTTCTGAAAAAATCATTAATTATTAAAACAGTAAGAATCTTTTACAGTGTGAATTGGAAGCTCAGAAACTAATCAATACATTGTATATCATCTTCAGATTGCTTTATGCAGAAGTATCTGTCTATGAAATGACAATTTACAATGAAATTTTATATGTTTTTATCAGGGATCTGTAAGTATAGTATCTGAATATTAATCATTATTTAATTTATGGTGTATGGTATTTTACATGCCTAGATTTTTTTTCTGATGTGGATGTAATTACATAAAATTATTTTTTTTGAATCAAGATAAGAAGTTACTCAACATTGTATGACATTTATTTATAGTATAAATGTATTAAACTAATATTACTTTTTGGTAAAATCGTTAAAAATATGTGATCTATTTCATTATTTATAATTTCTTTGTACCTGCATGTTGGAATGGGAATTACAGCATCATATACTGTTAATTTTATTTGACACTTAAATTCAGTAGTGAAAAATCTTGCTTGGCTTTGTCAGAAATTGAATTTAATTATTTGATTATAATTGACTTAAATCTAATATGATACATGATCAGGAAGATTTTCATTTTTAAAGAGGACTTGAAGATATATCGCAATCAGTGTGTATTTTATCAGTAAATTGTCTTATTAAAGTTTTTTTTTTCTTTTTTGTATTATATTTATTCAAATAACTTACAAAACTATTAAACCAAATTTACATGCTTAATTTTATTTTATCAGTCAAAATGCCTTTTTTTTTAACTACATGCTATAACAAAAAGTAGTATTTTGACTAGGTCTTATTTTAAATTTTATGATGTTTTTTTCAGCTGGACAATTTGTCGCGTGAAGATCTGACAAAGTTTGTCAAGAAACAGATGCTTCTTCTCCAGAAAACCAGAGCAAAATGTGATGGTAAATTTATTCACTATATTAACTAATTATACATGTAGCTTCATGTCATTAATAAACACAGAGTTGATATTATATGCAAGAATGATCATGAAAATTACTTCATTATATATTTCATTCTGAATTAGTTTGCAGTAGTCAACGACAGCACACAATTTGAAAAAAAAGGATTACTAGTTTGTGAATGACCTTTATGTATATAAGGACTCTGATGTTATTAAAATGTATTAAGGATTACACAAGTTGCTAGTGTTTCTAACCATCTAAATAACTGTATATACATGTATATACTGTATATATACTTTCCAGAGTTGACCAAGAAGGTTACAGAGCTGGAGTCCCAGAGACAGCTGGGTGAGGGTGAGGGGGGAGATGGGAACCAGGAGGATATAAAGGTGAGGACCAGTTTACCTGTCACTGTTCTTGCTTTGAGTTGAAATGTTTTGCCAAAAAAAGTAACTGTGTATAAATAAGACAGACAAAATGCCATACTAAATGTCTGTTTTAGAACTTGAAGACAAAAATAGAAGAACTAGAAGTGGAGAAAAAGGAGATGTTGACAGCATACAATGCTGTACAGGCCTCACAGGAACTGGCTGCAAATAAATTACAGGTACTAACAACAGAATGGTAGAGATATTGTGTCATACACTCACAAACTACAGGTACTTACAATAAAATGGAATACACTAACAAAGTACAGGTATTTTAGTCCTACAACAGAGTGGTAGAGATACAGGTCAGTGTTAGATATACATAGAAACACACAAATAAATGGTTTGGTGGTTGTAAAATTTTACCAGAGTAGAAAGCATCTTGATTGGAGTATGTCTTGGAAACAAAGAGTATTTTAGAACTAAAGCCTTTGTTGAAAAGTGAAAAATATCATAATGTGTAACATTTGGATTACACAAGTTATTTTTTCTCTGATTATTTAGGATATGGAGGGACAGCTTAATGAGGCAATCAAAGAAAAAGAAGAAATTGTGGCACAACTGTCTGTTTCTAAAAGAGAAAAGAAGGTATGTCTAGCATTATGAACTCTCCATTTTAAATAGATTGATCAAAATGGTTGTAAGTTTTGCCATCAGAGTGTGATTCATGTAGAGACAATGAGGAAACACCTCATTTAATTTTTAAGGAACTTGAAGAACAGCTGGAGTGTATGAAGATGAAGGACGAGACTCTGAATTCCTCTCTGCACTTCATGCAGCAAGAACAGAGTCAACTGCTGGAAGAAAATAAGGTAAATACATGTATTCTTAAAAACAAGGGCAGCAAAAAATGTGTTAAAATAAATCATGATAAGAAAAAAAACCACCAAAAATTGGCCATATACAAGCAAAGCAAATAAAACATTTACAAGATGATTAGTAAAAAAAAAATGACAAACTATTTTTGCTCAATTTTATGCAGGAGGAGGGGAGCTAACTAATGGAGGAAATGAAAGAAAATAAAAACAAGCCTAAAAATAACCAAAATGAAAACAAAAACTATCATGACAAAGAATGAAATTCAAAGTTCCATGATACAAATTTTGCTCTAAACACTGAGCCAACTGTATGTGGAAATGAATATTCATGCAATTAATAAAAAACAAGAAGCGTGTTACAAAACACAACAAGGAAATAATGGGGAAAAAGACTAAAAATGAATGTAAATTGATACCACCAAAGATATATGTCAGTGATAACTGCATACATGCACAATTCATTTGTAAATTGCCTTATTTTGTAGAAATTAAAGGAACAGGAAACTGTGCTGTCTGATGCCAGGGATATAGTGATGCAGAAACTGAAAGCAATGAAACAACACCAGATGAAGAGTCAGGCAGAGTTTGAGGAGCAGATACAGAAGTTAACAGAGGGAAAACAGGACTTGTCTGCCTTGATGCAAACCCTGGAGAAAGAGAAGAAGGAGGCTGAAGACCTTGCTGCTGAAAGAGAAAATCAGGTCAAGGTCATGGCCCAGAAAATGGACAAAATAATGACAGAGCTGGAGGAGGGAGGTGAACAGAAGGGACAGGGTAGCGAGGTAGAGGAGATCATCCAGAAAGTGGAACAGCTGGAGAAACTGTGTCAGCAATTGAAAGAGGAAAAGCAGGACTTGGAATCAAAGCTTACTGAACAGACTTTGGAGGTGGAGAAATTTAAGTCCGAGATAATGAAGAAGGAAGAGCTACTGAACCAGTCTTCATCAGAAGTTGAGAAGTTAAAATCTGACTTGAATTTTGTTACTGGGGAACTTACAAAGTCACAGGAGCAGTCTTCATCAGAGGTGGAGAAGTTAAAATCTGACTTAAATTCTGTCACGGAGGAACTTAAAAAGTCACAGGAGCTGTATGTGAGTGAGCAGAGGTTTAAAGAAGATCTACAAAGTGAGATTGATAATTTACAATTCCAAATTCATGAACTCATGCACGAGAAGGAGGAAGAATCTCAAAAAGAGGCTGCTGCTGAGAAACCTAAACAAAAAGCCCAAGAAACAAAGAAAAATGGAAAATCTGGTCTAAAGGGTAATGGAGCCATTCCAAAAACTACAGACATAAGAAAGAAGTTGCAAGTAGTCACAAGGGAAAAAGAGCAGTTAGAACAGGAAATGAAGAAGGTGCTCACAAGAGATGAGAGTCTGTCATACGAGGTCAGTGAACTGCAAGAAGAAAAGGAGATGCTGAGAAATGATGTTCAACAGATGAATGAACAGATGGGAGAGTGGGAGCACATGATGAACATGTTACAGGAGGATAAGAACAGGATGCTGCAGGAACTCGATGCAGCAGAAGCCAAGGAGAAGAGAATTCTGGGAGAGCTGGATGTTGTGAGGGAGATACTGGGAATGGAGAAGAGGGTGGAGAAGAAGGAGACGGAAGAAGATGAAGAGGAAGAAGTGACTGATGATGGTGATGATGTGTTTGAAGCTGATGAGGGTCCAGGGATTGTGATCACTGAATTGGAGAAAATGAAAGTGAAACTGAATGAAATTGTCTCTCAGAATAGTCAGTTGAAAGTAGATTTAGATAGTGCCTATGCAAGTAAGGGGGACAGTACGGTAGAAATCCAGGCAGTGAAGAGGGAATTAGCTACATTGGTGTGTGAGAAAGAATCAGCTGAGAGGGAGAAAGAGTCTCTGTCTGTCATTATGAAATTGACTCAGGAGAAGGAGAAAGATCTCACTGAAGAAAACACTAATCTGAAGGGAGTTATTGATCAGAACGAGGAGGAGAAGGCAGAACTCAGAGGAAGAATCCAGGAGGTTCAGCAAGAGATCAGTAAGGTGGAGGGAGAGAAGCAGGAGCTGATCAAAGCAGCAGAGGATTCAAAGGAAAGCTATAAAGAAATGGAAGAGAAGGTGAAAGAGAGGCAGGCTTACACTGAGGAACTGGAGAACCAGATTTTGGAAATGTCCAACAACCTCGCAGAGGCACGCAAGAAACATGAGCAGTTTATAGCAAAAATGGAGGTGGAAGGAGAATCTGCCACATCCATGCTGCAGTCAGAAATTGAGAATCTGAAAGCAAGGATTGAGGAGCTTGAAAAAGAAGTAGAAAGGAGGAAACAGGAAGTGGAGGATGTGCAAGGTCAAAGGTCAGAGATGGAGAAAAAATTCCTGGATATATCCGAGGAGTTACAGAGAGTGAAAGAATCTTTCGAACTTTGTGAGAAAGAAAAATCTGAATTATTAACTCAGGTTGAGAATTTTAGTAAAATACAATCAGAAAAAGATGACATTTTGGAAAAATGTGAAAATTTGAAAGCAAATTTGGATGCTATGGAAACAGAAAAAACACAGTTCTTGGAAACAATCAGTCAACTTAATAAAGAAAAGGATGAACAAGTTTCATTAGTGGATCAGTATTCAAACAGTGTCGAAGAAAAAGAACTGTTAATTGAAAATCTAAAAAGTGAATTAGAGTTGCTTACACAAAATGCTGAAAAGTTGTCACAAGAGAAGGAATCTGTAGAAAGTGAACTGGTTCAGAAACTTAATAATGAGATTGAAAACAGGAAGAAAAAGCTATCTAATGCTCAGAGAGAATTGGCAGATGTAGAAGAAAAAGTGAAGTGCCTAGAGAGTGAGAAAAGTGAGTTGAATTCCAGGTTAGAGGAGAAAGAGGTACAGAATTCAACACTTCAGACTTCATTGACAAAAACATCTTCAAAGGTTGAAAACTTGAATAAAGAACTTTCTAGTCTATCAGAACAAAAAGAGGAACTGCAGAAAGATTTGGAGGGGAAAATGAAAGAAATAGAAGATTTAAAGATTCATCTGCAAAAGACAGAGTCAGAGAGGAATGAACAAATAGAAGAAGTGGAGAAGTTACGAAGAACTCTTGAGACAACTGACTCAGAAAAAGCAGAGAATCAGCAGGAAGTTGAAAGTCTGAAGACTTCATTAAAGAACATTGAAGAAGACAGAAATAATAGAATGAAGGAAATAGAGAGCTTACAGAATTGTTTACAGGTTATGGAGTCAGAGAAAGATGGACTGAAAGAACTAAGAGATCAGTATGAAGAGGTTAAAGGTCAGAATGATCAACTTCTGGAGGAAGTGAAAATCTTGAAAGAGGATTATGGGAAATCAAAGGCTGAAAATGAGAATCTGAGAGAAGAAATGAAGACTATTTCAGAAGGAAGTAATAGTGTTAAGAATGAGAGAGACATTCTGGCCTCACAGATGGAAAAACTTAAATGTGAAAAAGAAAAACTAGAGGGCGCTCTTTGTCAAAAGGATGAGGAAGTTCAAAATCTGTGTTCAGTGAAAGAATCTGAAAAAAATGTCTTGGAAACTGAGATTCAAAAACTAAAAAACGAACTTGAAGAAAGTGTGATAAAATTCCAGGAGATACAAACTCAGTTGAGTGAAACAGAGGAGGAAAAGAGGTCATTAGAAGAAGAAAATCAGAAATTAAAAACTGAGCTGGATGAAATCTCGAGAGAAAAGTCTGTATTGGATGAGTCTTTAAATGAGTTAAGGACTCAGATATCAGGGAGAGATACAGAGGAGAGTTCAATGTTAAAAGATATCCAGAGCAAAATTGAAATAATTCAGAATTTAGAAGAAGACAAGCTTAAATTGGAAGCAAGATATAAAGAGCTTCAAAATGACAATGAAGGCTTAAAAAGCTCTGTGGATGAAAAAGGTAGACTAATGGAGAAGTTAACATCAGAATTAGAACAGGCTAAAAAAGACTTGGCTTCAATGAATGTGACAAACAAAGAAATGCAAGAAGTGGAGGCACAGTTGAGGAAGGAATTGTCTGCCCTTGGTGAAAAGGTTGCAGAATTGCAGACCATTAACAGTGATCTAAACATACAAATCCAAGACTTGAGAGGAAAAGAAAGTGAGACTCAACAGAAATCAGAGGTAGGGATTTCCTTTCAGCAAAATTTTAAAATCAACTGAAAGTAATTTGTACAAAATTTATAAATTTATATTGCATTTTGAATTATGGGAAAAGGATCAAATATAATTCTTGCATTATTTGTAAAGCTACAAAAATTCTTAAACTTTCATCATGTTGTATAGAGTTCTAATGAGGAGAACAAAAGTTTGCAGCAGAAACTGAAAGAGAAGGAGGAAATGTACAATAAACTGAAATCTCTGGCCATGAAAAGCAAGAAAGAGGCAGGACAGCTCAAATCCAAGGTAAGTCAAGTTTAGCTAAATTGTTGATTTACATGTATACTTAAGTGTTGAATCAGTTTAAAACTGGTGATCAGGAATAAAAGTACCGGTAGATAGAATAGTTGTGTTTATGTATACATCTAGTAGAAAGTGTTGTACAATGTATCTTCTTAAAATTATGACCAATGCTACAACACTTTAAATTTTTCTATTCCTTCAACAGACTGATGAGCTACAGAAAGAACGAGACGAGTCTGTGAAGAAATGTGAAGAACTTCAGCAGCAGTTGTCTGCCCTTGAAATCTCCCAGAAGTCAGAATCTGAACTCATGAAGAGTTTCCAGGTGAGAATTTATCACATTGTATTGTCACATTCAGAAAACTTTCAGAGTTTTCAGAGTTTATTAATAATGTGAACATTAATGCTACATGTAAGTCTCAAACAAATACTGTGGAATCATCAAAATTCGTAGGCGCCAATTTTAGAGGATTGCTTAAATTTTACTGGTTTGTGGGGACGTAATTTCATGCATTTAATCATATTTACAAAAGGAAATATTATTTTGAACCCCTGTATATTAATTTGTGGAGGATGTAAATTTATGGATGAAGGGAAGTCCACGAATATGGAACCACCAAAAAATCTAATGATTCACAGTACACATGAGCTGAACCTGGCATAAGGGATTCCATAGGCTTAAGGCTGAGACTTGTCTACATGTATAATGAATGCAAGAATTTTTGCCAGAAACTGTCATTACAGCATATAAGATTACACTACAATCATAGGTCAACAATGTACAAATTGTATTTTTTCATTCCCATTAGTGGAATTTTTGGAACATCCCAAATTAAAGAAAAGGATTGACTATATCAGGGCTCTAATTGACGACTAATTTAGTCGCCATGGCGCCTAAAATTTTTCCATAAGTCGCCAAATTGGCGATCATTTTAAAATGACTTGGCGGTCATCGAATTCCTGAACTTTTAACATTTTTTATTTTTCTGAAGAAGCGAAAAGAAATTTTAAAAAAGAAATTATTTTTAGCAGTGGACACATTTTCTTGGTCACCTTTTTTTAGTAAGCAAACGTCCCTATATTGATTACTATGAACTTTCAAAAATAAAAATTGCCGGGCAACTAAAAATTTGCATTGGCAACTAAATTTTTTTGATAAAGTGCCAGCTGGCACCAAAATTGTAGAGGTCACTTAGAGGCCTGTATATACCTTAATTGGCTTTGTTGTTACACAACTCATCTGTACCAATGACTAATCATGGATTCTTTAAATACAGCTTTTACAGGAGAAGTATGATAAACTGGAGTTGGAGTATGACTCAAAGACAAAGGAATCGGACAGCTACAAGTCTGACCTTGAGAAGGTCATCTCTGAGTTGGCTCAGGTCAAGGAGACAATGGCCACAAGTAAAGAGGACAAAGAACAACTCATAAAGGAAGCAGACAGATTGAAAGGAGAGGTCAAGGTAAAATCAAGTCAAAGGTCAAGGTCATTTACTGATTATCATAAATTCAAAGGTCAGGATCATTACAAACATTAATGTTAGCCACATACATGTAGTAGCTTATATTGCAATGCCCTAGACCTGCAGAGAAAAAAATTGATACATGTATAGAGGACATATCTGGATTTCTGTGTAAAGAGTGTCAGCAGCTGTAACTGTTTCCAAATTTTTCTTTGTCAAAGATTTCAATGTCTGCTGCATATTTTACAGAAACAAGAGGGAGCTGTATCTGATCTGAAAGGAAAATTGGCATCCGCTGAAAAGGAAAGGGAGGCTTACAGAATTCAGAAAGATGAAGTCGTGAAGGAAAAACAACAGGTTTGACTCGTAACTTTTTAAAGTCCCTGAGTTAGGCATTTTGTGAATTTAATGACATTATTTATTTTTATTGCATTTTGATCTTAATTAAGATAGGAGAGTAAGGAAAAAGTATTCTGTATGAAAATTTCCCTTGTACTTTCATTGACTTTTCTCTATTCATTTTTATGGGTTTTTTAGGTGATAAAAGCTGGAGTTTGGGTTGTCATTGTGCCTCTTTTCTCTTAAAGGTACAAGGAAAGTTACAAGACTCAGAAGACAGAATGAAGAAAGAAGGAGAGAAACACAAGAGTGTGGTGACAGGACTACAGAGTCAAGTCCAGGAGATTCAGAGACAGTTAGAGCAGGCTAAACAGGTGAGAGAGAGAGAGAGAGAGATTCAGAGACAGAGCAGGCCAAACGAGAGAGAGAGAGAGAGAGAGAGATTCAGAGACAGTAAGAGCAGGGTAAACAGGTGAGAGAGAGAGAGAGATTCAGAGACAGAGCAGGCTAAACAGGTGAGAGAGAGAAAGAGAGAGAGATTCAGAGACAGAGCAGGCTAAACAGGTGAGAGAGAGAGATTCAGAGACAGTAAGAGCAGGCTAAACAGGTGAGAGAGAGAGATTCAGAGACAGTAAGAGCAGGCTAAACAGGTGAGAGAGAGAGAGAGAAAGAGATTCAGAGACAGTAAGAGCAGGCTAAACAGGTGAGAGAGAGAGATTCAGAGACAGTAAGAGCAGGCTAAACAGGTGAGAGAGAGAGATTCAGAGACAGTAAGAGCAGGCTAAACAGGTGAGAGAGAGCAAATGCATTTATTTTACATGTTACATACAGGTATTGACTTTTAATTTAAGTGTAAATTAATTAAGAGACTTTTAAATCTAAAGAAGAAATTTTCGGGCACACTGTAATAATTGGTGACCAAAGCTAACTGTGTATTTTTGCCACTGCATAGGAGGCCAAACAGAGTAGTATGATGGACCTGGAGATCGCAGACTATGAGAGAACAGTTCAGGCTCTCAACAAGACGATCTCAGACAGGGACGTGACAATCACAGAACTGAGGGGGGACGTGGAGAGGCTAGAGGAGAAAACTAAGGCCCTCAAAGAACAGATAGGTATGTACTAATGTACTAATGTATTGTAACAAAGAAAAGATAGGTATGTACTAATGTACTGATACACTGTAACAAAGAACAGATAGATATGTACTAATGTACTGTAACAAAGAACAGATAGATATGTACTAATGTACTAATACACTAACAAAGAACAGATAGATATGTACTAATGTACTAATACACTGTAACAAAGAAGAGATTGGTATGTACTAACTGTATTCTGAAATAAATGTGTCTGACTGTTGACACAAAAACATGGAGCATTGAGCAGTTACTGAATATCAAATTAAGTAACAGAGTTTGACACTAAGGCATGTCAGACCGACCCAGTCTAGTAAATGAGTGGTATGGTCGTGTAAAATGTTCGTGAACTAGACCGACTGGTCATGTGTATGAAATAAATGATAACCCTCATTTCAGTCTTTCAAATAAATATTCTAAAAATATTCTTAAAAGTTTTTTATTGTTTTTTAAAATTCTTATTTGTCTGATAGTAAACATTACCCATCGCTCTGTAAAAGAAAACTTCCCCTCATGACACAATCGCTATTTTTAGTCCGCCTGTAATAGGGGGGCAGCAACATTGTCGGTGTACACAAGTGTATGTAGCATAATGGCCTGTGTTTGAAGTTGTGTGTTTCACTTGTATGTTGACCATTACTTCCATGGTAAGCCGTGGGATGGTCACATACATCCAACTCTGGTTTTGACATGAAAATGTGATGGGAACTATCTTCGTTCAATATTTAAAATTAGTATGAAGTAATTGAATAATATATTCTTTAATTCACAATTGTATTTGTTTTTAGGGTAATTATTTTTATACTAAGTTCATTGATTGTTCCTTAAATAAGGCTTATAATATCTGTGTGTCACGCTTAACCCGACGTAATGGCTAGCGACCTATGGAAGAGTCTGTCAAAATATACATGTATCTTAACAAGTGCGAGAGACGGTATCTTTATTGAAGTATGGTTTTGAAACTTTTTTCCCATTATAATTAGCAGTTTATAAAAAGTGAATTTTCAAGTTTGGCCAGGGCTAGTGATTTTATGGTCAGGGCTAGTAAAAATTATTAGAAGTAGCCCGACTGGTCTAGTACTTATAAAAGTTAATGTCAAAGCCTGAGTAAATTCCTATTTTATGTAAATGAACAATCACAGATTTATTTTAGGTACATGTAATTATTTCTCACACAACAGATGCTGTAGAGGAACAGAGAATTCAGGCAGATGACAGAGCAAACAAACTGAAACAGATGTTGGTCAAAACCAAGAAAGAGTTGTCAGATGCCAAGAAAATGGTAAACAAAACTTATCAAACAAATAACTAAAATTTAAGTTCAACTAAAAAAAATATTACTTATGCTAATTTATTAAATACATGTAGCTGTTGAATTATTTTCTCAGTTTGTGAATGTAATGAAGTTGCAAAATTTTTATCTTCATTAGATTAAATTATCACTTAGAGTTGTGTCAGATCAAAACAACCATAAAGATACATTCACAAGAGTAGACACACTGTTTTATTTTGATAGGAAACAGAGCAGAGGTCATCTGATGCCCAGTTGAGAGGTCAGCTGGAAGGGCTGAATCAACAAGTGGAGGAAAACAAGGTAAGAAAACTAGGTCAGAGGCCACTATGGAGTACCTCAAAATGTAGGTCATGAGTATGTTATGTCTTGGCAAATTAGGGGATAAACACATAGGAAAACTTAATTGTAAAGTGTATAATGTACATATTCATTTGAAAAAAAAGCAGATAAAATATTGATAGTGTATGTGAAGGATAAAAACATTGCAATTTATTTTCAAATTGATGAGGACTAGAAATTGACTTCACATATGGAAAAAATTCTTTCAAAGACCCCAATATGACGAAATGATTTTTTTTTTTTACAAATATTTTTTTATCTTTGTTATAGATACAGATGGGAGAACTTGCTGCAGAGAAGCAGAAATTACAGGAGAAACTTCGATCCCTGACTGATTCCAACCAGAGGACGATCCGGTCTCTTGAGGGTCGGATCCAGTCACTTCAGGATGACTTGGAGGTCACTAGGAGTGAGATGAAAGCTGTCCAGGCAGAGTATGACGGCTACAAGGTAAAATATAGAAGAGAATCTTAGCCTCTAATCCTAATTTGCTGTTGGTTGTGTTAAAGATTTGTCTTTGAATCGGAAGGTTTTAAGATATACATACAATCAAACCTTGTTATCTCAAACATGGGTGAACTACCATTTAGGTGACACATGCAATATACAGGTAAATTACCTGTAATAATGATTTTCTAGATGAAAAAAATTTGATTGTACAGAATTTAAGGGTTCCCATTATCCCATTTCAGGTGAGAGTACACAGTGTGTTGAAACAGCAGAAGAAAGGAAGCCAGGAATCGGCGGTCAGTGAGAGTGAGAAAATGGAAAGGTGAGAGTTGTGTATTAAAATGTTTAATGCCATTCCATCCAAATCATTCTTCTTACAAGAAAGTTGGAGGGGCTATGCATGGTAGTAGTACAACAATGAAAGTGTCCAATATTATTTTGCACCTTTCATACTCAGAGAGAGGGTAATGAGTGCAGGGTTGTCCCTAAGACTCGGGGGCCGGGGAATTTCCCTACCAATAATGACGTAATCCCCGGCTACTCTGGTACTAAGCTCATACTCCTTTAAAGGAAGGAACACTAGACCCCTTCCTACTTTTTTAATGTCCCCTGCTATTTTAATTCTTAGAGACAACCCTGGAGTGCTTGTATTTTGCCCAGTTATAAAGGCTGTGTCTCTGACTATATTTGTTTTATTGAAAGAAAAGTACATGTGTTATTTTATTTTATTTAGAGAGAGACTAGAAAAGGCTGTAGAACAGCTGAAGTCAAAGATCCAGGATCTAAGGTAAAATAATCAGTTAGGAGACTTAGGTGATAAAACTGAAAATCTAATACTCAGGCCTATATTCATAGAAAATAATAGTAATTTATTGGAGTACAAGTATTTATTTTAAAATTTATTGAGAGATCACTTTATTTTAGACAATTTATGACAGAAAATTGAATTCTGAAATAATATATGGATCTTAGATAAAGTCTTACTGCTCTTTCGCAAAAAATATAGTGTCTAAATTTTTGACATTCTGCAGACATATGAAAACTGTTGTTCAAGATTGTAGCTAATTTTTTGCCCCAAATTGCTAAGATTGTCTGTACAATACTTGGCCATTCTGTTGGATTTAGAAGACACACTAGATTTCTCTCTTTTTTTCAATGCAGGAAGATGTATGTTAATTTATTTTTTACTGAAAACCAATTTAGTATAGTCAATAACAGATTTGTTTGTTTGTAGTGATAAACTGAGGACAGCAGAGTCTGACATGGAGATACAACAAGAGGAGAACGCCCACTTAATGGGTCGCTATAACAAGTTAGTGGCCGACATGCAGGAGAAAGACAATACCAACAGGAGGAGGTCAGTACAATTCTCATAAGTAATGGTTAATCTCCCCCCCCCTTAACCCGTCCCACCCACACTTAATGGGTTGTTATAACAAGTTAGTGGCTGACATACAGGAGAAAGACAATACCAACAGGAGGAGGTCAGTACAACTCTCATAATTAATGGTTAATCTCCCCCCCCCCTTCCCCCGTCCCACCCACACTTAATGGGTTGTTATAACAAGTTAGTGGCTGACATACAGGAGAAAGACAATACCAACAGAAGGAGGTCAGTACAATTCTTATGATTAATGGTTAACCTCCCCCCCACCCCCACCATCCCACCCCCACCCCCACACTGAATGGGTCGTTATAACAAGTTAGTTGCTGACATACAGGAGAAAGACAATACCAACAGGAGGAGGTCAGTACTATTCTTATGATTAATGGTTAACCTCCCCCCCACCCCCACCATCCCACCCCCACCCCCACACTGAATGGGTCGTTATAACAAGTTAGTGGCTGACATACAGGAGAAAGACAGTACCAACAGAAGGAGGTCAGTACAATTCTTATGATTAATGGTTAACTTCCCCCCCCCCATCCCACCCCCACCCCCCCACTTAATGGGTCATTATAACAAGCTGGTGGCTGACATACAGGAGAAAGACAGTACCAACAGAAGGAGGTCAGTACAATTCTTATGATTAATGGTTAACCTCCCCCCCCCCCACATTCCACCCCACCCCCAAACTTGATAATAGGTCGTTATAACAAGTTAGTGGTTAACATACAGGAGAAAGACAATACCAACAGGAGGAGGTCAGTACAATTTTCATAATTAATGATAACTAACCTCCCCCCCCCCCCCCCCCCCCCCACTTAATGGGTCGCTATAACAAGTTAGTGGTTGACATACAGGAGAAAGACAATACCAACAGGAGGAGGTCAGTACAATTTTCATAATTAATGATAACTAACCTCCCCCCCCCCCCCCCCCCACTTAATGGGTCGCTATAACAAGTTAGTGGTTGACATACAGGAGAAAGACAATACCAACAGGAGGAGGTCAGTACAATTCTCATAATTAATGATAACTAACCTCCCCCCCCCCCCCCCCCTCCACTTAATGGGTCGCTATAACAAGTTAGTGGCTGACATACAGGAGGAGGTTAATACAATTCTTATAATTAATGGTTACCTCCCCCCCCCCCCCCCTCCAACTTAATAAGTTACTTTATAACAAGCAAGTGGCAGACTTAGAGGAGAAGGACAATATCAACAAGAGAAGGTCAGTAGACTTCTCATATTTAATGTTTACCCGGTACATATCCCCACAGAAATTTACTCATATGCCACCTGTGCTTGCATGTATATCGTAAAATTTTTAATACAACAAATGAATAAAATTCACTAGACATCCTATCAGTCAATGAAAATTATGAAAATGATCTTATATAATATACTGTGGTTGTAGATTGGAGGACATGACCCATGAGAAGGATCTGCTAGTCAAGGAACAGAAGGAAACCATTAAACAGCTCAATCTACAGAATGATACAATCACTCTCTCATTCAAGGTCTGTCTGAGAACTTAACCGAGTTAAAAAAAAAATACATTTGTAAATAAAGTAAAAATACTTATTATAAATTCATTCTTACTAGGAAGTGATTTTCATTCCCTGTAGATTTAAAGTGCATTATGAACTTAATTGGGTAAAATGAACAACTGTACATGTAATTAAAATTTTTAGTCCATGGCACTTTGCCGTAAGCATTGTTTACGTAAAGATTTCTTTTTTTTCTGTATGCCACATTATACTTGTAGGTATGAAGTTTTAACAATTTTGATCTTGATTTTTTTTTTGTACTGTAGGATCAGATACAGTCTTTACAGGAGGACCAGAGCCATGCTATCAATATGTTACAGATGCAGATAGACTCACTGGAGCGTGAAAACACTCGCCTACAGAGGGAGCTTCAGCAGCAGATGTCAAAGGTCACGACTGTGCGGTCAGTCATGGTCACAGAGAGACAGAGTCCTGTCTCTACAGGGAATGAGTTTATTGTGCATGACATCAGGCATGAAGAACGACAGGAAGGGGAGGTAACTAAGACCGTAATTAATCAGATGAGTAGGTTAATCATTAATTTATTAATAGATTTTATTGATTATATGGAGAATGAGATGAAGACAGGTGTAATCTTTTAGAATATAGTTATAAGGTGTGATATTTTTAAGAATTTTAGAATGTAATCTTGAGTGTCTCTGAGACTGCTCAAATATACTAGTATATTGATGTTTGTGATCTAATTTCATTTCGACTTTGTTTGGTACCATTGTAGGGATCCGAAATAGTTGATCCAGAACCCTGCTCAAAGGTACATTGTTCTTTTTTTTTAATCTTACATATACAGTATAGAGTACTTAAAAAGTGGCATTTTGTACATTTAATTTGTTAATATGGAGCATTTTCAATGAACATGAATTTCAAGGTGAAATGATTAAGTGGAAAATAAAATCAGTAATGAGCAGGCAAGACAGTATGTATACTGTGTATAGTAAAGAAATATAATTTATAAAGTTATATATGTTGAAGTCTACATTTTCCTTTTCACAGGGCACAAGTAAACCATCCCCGTTACCACTAGACAGGCTTTTATCAACAGGCCCCGAGGACACAGGTATACAAAATTGTTGTTGAAATGGACTGTGGTGAATCATGATCATAGCTAATACTTATGTATGGTATAGGGATCTTGTTGCATCATTTCTGATCCCTTAGAATTCAATGTATTCTTAGTAGATAGATAGTCTTTTCTAGGCCTTGTTCTGAACTCCGCTGATTTAACATGTTTTAATTTTTAAACAGTCAATTTGTTTGTGAAATTTGTGTAAATTTGATTTGGTCAGTATTATTCAACATATTTTGTTTAGTACAATTTAGTGGAACATACTAATTTTCTTGAGCATTTTAACCTATTTTATGTACATGTACTTGTATAAGAAAGCTATCGTGTAAATGGTAAAGAAGCTGATGTGAGTGATGCTAACTGCTGATTGAGATACATCTTGGTGATTTATGATTTATAGTGTATCCTAAAGAAGTGACTGAGATAGAAGTTGAGACACTGAGAGAGAACCTGTCCACAGCTCATAAACGGATCGAGCATCTCAACGAGGTAAGCAGTTAGTCAGAAATATATACATATAATACAAGTATCTCGCCGAGGTAAGCAGCTTAGCCACTGATTCAGAAAGTAAACTAGCATCTTATCAAGATGAGCAGAGGCATGCAGGAACTCATCAAATAATTTAAGGATGTACCGGTACATGTATCAACTAACAGCTCAAAAATATTCTTTTATCTCTGTTAAGATGGTGAAGCATTCTCTTGCTTATGTTCAGTAGAACTTGGTAGAGAATATACATTGCATTTTAAAAGTTAAATAAAGTTTATAGTTAATTGGCTTAATTGCAGTAAAATAAAGAAATAAATTCAAAAGTTTTATGCCAATTTTTACTATCTTTTGATATGTAGAAATACATGTACAGGTTGTATCAATTTCATAATAGAACTGAGTGTGACATAGATGTACATATATATCACTTAAAAGATTAATGAATGAACTACAGTTGAACTTCGGTATCTCAAACTACAGTTGAACTTCGGTATCTCGAACACTGATATCTCGAATACCATGGATATGTTGAAGTGATTTGGAAGTCCCATCTACTTATCCTTTAAGTATTTTACCCTCAATATCTCGAATCCTCAGATATCTTGAAGTTTTTTCTTGGTTCCATCGAGTTTGAGATAACGAGGTTTGATTGTATTTTTTATATACTTAATGTGGATTGAGGTGAAAATACATGTTAGTTGAAAATTTGAAAAAGACCACCTTTATATTTTTCTGTAGTTGTCCAATGAAAATGAGGCCACAGTGATGAGGTTGGAGGAACAAGCTAAGATTCTAAAAGAGGAAATCCGTCGACTGGAGCGGAACCAGCAACGTGAAAAAGAGGCTGCAAATATGGAGTACCTCAAGAACATTCTTCTAAAGGTGAATACTGTGTAGTTGTTAGTGCTTAGTTACTCAGGTTTTCAATAGTTTGATTTGATTATGTTAAAGAATATTACATATACATAAATGTACTTCATGAATTATTATACAGTTTGATTGAATGACATGGCATAACTATAGTTCCGGAAAACTGGTATGGTGCATATGGATATACATGTAGTACATGTAGTTGAATTATTAATATATACATGTGATCAATTTGAAATTTATTTTGGTTTCAGTAAAAGGCTATTTAAATTTTGCACCATACCCTTGAAGAACATTCCTCATATTTATTTATGAATGAAATGTGACCTTGACATTTTGTAGTTCCTGAGTTTGAAGGTCGGAGACGAGAGACAGCAGCTGGTTCCTGTTCTGACGACAATGTTAAAACTCAGCCCCGAGGAAAAGGCAACTCTGGATACAGCAGCTCAGGGTAAGGGAGACAATAAATTTATGATGTTTGTATTTTGATAGACATAGTGTTTGTTCTGTGTGCTAATAACTTAAACCATAATTTTTTAAATAAAAGTGTATAGAGAAATATTGCAATTTTAAATTTGGCTGCATATACCGGAAATTAAGCCACTTTTGGCTTGGATGATAATTAGAGGGCAAGAAATATTGTGTTTATCAAGGATTCATTAAATATTGCAGGGTTTTTATGCCCCCGTTATCAAAGATTCGGGGGTATATAGTTTTTGCCCTGTCCGTTCGTGTGTCTGTCAATCTGTCCTCAAAAACTTTAACCTTGCCCCTAACTTTTGATTGGTTGGAGCTGTGTCTTTCATATATCACATGTGTATTCCTTGTGACAAGACCTTCCTTTGGTTATCAACATATTTGACCTCTTGACCTAAACCTTGGAGTTTGACCCACTTTTGCAAAAAATTACCCATCTTTATCCTTGGCCATAACTTTTGAACAGTTGGTGCTGGGGCTTTCATATTTCATGTGTATTAATCGTGACAAGACCTTTCAATGTGTGTAAATATTTTTGACTTTCACCTTAGAGTTTCACCTACTTTTAAAAAAACTTTGACCTTGGCCATATCTTTTGATTAGTTAGTACTAGGGCTTTCAAATATTATAGGTATATTCCTTTGAATACCAACAACTTTGACCTTTTGACCTTGGAGTTTGACCTACTTTTGAAAAACTTTAACCTACGGCATAACTTCTGAATAGTTGGTGCTAGGGTTTTTATATTTTGCATGTGTATTTCTTATGACAAGGTCTTCCCCTGCGTACCATGAATTTTGACCCTTGACCTTGGAGTTTGACCTTCTTTTAGAAAACATTAACCTTGACCATAACTTTTGAATGGTTGGTGCTTAGGCTTTCATATTTACCAGTACATCTATTGACAGAAGTTCTTTCTTTGGGTAACAACATTTTTATCACTTGACCTTGACCTTGGAGTTTGACTTGCGTTTGAGAAACTTCAACCTTCGCCTGAAGCTGCCACAAGGGGGCATCAGTGTTTCACAAACACATCCTTTTTTTTTTTAATTTTTTTAAAAGAACAATTATAGATTCTTTAGAAACAATTTTTTTCCCCTTTTTTTTTAATGTGCAAGTTCAGAAATTATTATGTATTTTAAGAATGATACTCAACAAACAGGATATGACTAAAAAAATAATCATTTATGTTTAAATATATTATAGGAGAAGACAATGCAGCTAATCCACAACAACAGCAGCAAGGGGGTGGATGGGGGTCTTATCTTCACCGCTGGTCAGGGTTAGTGTGAGAAGTCAAGGCAACATTCCTACACAAACAAAATGACTGAAAGTCACTCTAATGGGAGAAACTTTAAACAAATCCTGGAATGAAGAATAAAGACTTGTTTATTTGAATGAAGAGATTGTGAAGAGCTTGACAGTTTATTTTCTGAGTACTTTGTGACAATGTTGCATGCTGAGGAGAAATGTTGAATGGCAACACAATGAGGACCTGCCTGATTGTCCGAATGTTTGTGTGTGTCCATTGTTTATAGACAACTTTAGTCCTGTGATAACTGGAGTCATGACTCTTCAAATGAAGAATGTTGTATGCCATGTTTGACACCAGTGCTAGCTTCTGTGTACATGTACATTCCAAACTGCCAAGGAGAGTACCTTTCTCTTTAGAAGTTTCATGAAAAAAAAAATTCCAATTCATTTTTAGAAAAGTGCTGTTTATTCATGTATGGTAGAATGATCTTTAGTAAAAAATTGATGCAACAATAAAATTTCGCCATTAAATGCATTCATGGTGACAAGTTCTTGCAATTTTGTAATAATTTTTAATTTTATAATATAGAAATTGACTACTGCTATGACTGTTAAACATACTCTGGCATTTAAGCGGTGTAGACTTTGTGTTCGAAAGTAAAATATCAGTACTGTATTATTTATTTGTAATTGTATTAATAGATTTGTAATTGCTATACATATTATTTTATTCACTATATCATTTTTATGAAATCTGAGACCAGATTTTATGATTACCGACAAGTATTTGTTGAATGAGTCCAGTATTAAGATTTCGGTGAATTTAGTATAGAAAGAAGTTTATGTACCAATAGCTTAACAAATACATTGGATTTTTGAGTTGCAAATTTCTTTGTAGGTAATTCATGCATTAGTTTTGATTAAAAAAATTACCAAGAAATATAGATTTCATGCTCAAGAATATTCTTAGATATGAAAGATATCTAATATAACTTAGGATGAAACTTTGGCATTTTATTTTGAAAAGTATGTAACTTGGGCAATTATAACTTTTATCTAGCATTTTAATCCTCATAAATCTCTTGAAATTTAATTCATGTAATAATTTCATATCTCTTGTATTTTTATTTGATCAACAATCTTCTGTTGCCTGTTGTACATTAACCGACAGTAGTTATACATTTAGAGTATATAGTCACATACTCTGTGTATGTTGGGGTAAACCCACATTTTTAGGGAATGGCAAACTGGTAGTCTGTGATCAGCACTCAGTGAAAAAAGTGACAAGGTAAATTCTGGCAGATTTACATGTACAAACCAGGAATTATTCAGAGGTGAATTCCACATGTAATCTATTTTTTTTAATGTATCACATGTTGTGGACATGTGTACAAGGTACTTGTTTCGCATTGTCTTTATATACATGTATTGTGTGAGGTACAAAAGTTTTCATTTCTTTGATTGTTCATAAGTTTGTGTCCATTAGTGAAGTGATGGTAGATTGATTCAGAGAAGATTGTAAGTATTGGTAGTTGAAAATTTCAAGTTAAGATGCTGAATTGTCCTGGTGCATGAAAAACACTACAGAAATGATTTTAATGATTATACGTATTTGTGCTTGTAGTTCTAAAGGCATCTTTGCTTGCTGAGGGTTTCCGATCCAAATCTACTCTACAGATTGAGTAGATTTCAGATCGGAAGCCCTTGGCAAGCGAAGATGTTCTAAAGGGGGCTAACATTTTGTAGTTACCATATCATAATTCATTTATTAATAAACACTTCTTTAATTCACATTCCACTATTTAAACTTTGAAGAAAAAAAAGGAATCTTTTTTTTATAAAACCTAAAAAAAGCCATATTTGTCCTCAAAATTCTGTTATGCATTTAAAAAATTTCCTTTTAAACATTATTTTGAAGTGATGGTTTTCAGTAAGTATTGAATAGAGTAAGGCATGGATCATACACTGATTTGTCTTATGTTTTGTTTAACTATCATTTTGCTGTCTTCTCAATGTATTTTTATATATAGTTATATGAGTGTTTCTTGTTTCAAAGAATGAAACATAAATTAATTTTTGTGTTCTTGTTTGCATTTACTTGTTATATTAACCACACTGGTCTTTCAGAGTGCAATATTGTGATGACATAATAAATTGGTATTTCTGCAAGTTATTTTTATTGTTGTGAATATGAAAAGAACTTTGTATAATGCAGGTAAGATCATTAGGGTATGCAAGAATTTGTGGGTGTCCTAGAAATCTGCACCTCTCAGTTTGTCCACACATCTCCTGTTTTTACCCAGTTTTTCCCATAATTATCTTAATATTTTGGTATATGTAAAATATGCATTTAATCGATCAAACTTAAATTTAGGATGTGTGCATATGAATTTGACAAATTATATCCTTGTACCAGTCTTGTAGAGCAGGATTACCCCTCTAACATCTTTTCTTTTGAAATCTGGCTTTAGAGGAAGATTTTTCCTGGAAAATAGGCTCTAAAAGTAGGATTTCCCCTACAGAAAAATGACTCTAGGATTTCCCCCAAGGAAATCCCTCACCGGATTCAATTTTTTCTAGGAATCTTACTCCGTGAAATAGAGTGTGATTTCCCACAGAGCCAATTTCCCCTCACTAAATTATCATTTATCTAGAAGCACAATTTGGGCTAATAAGACTAGTGTGGCTTTTCTTTTCTGGTCAGATTTCTTTTCTATAGACATGCATCATGTATGATTTGATCTTCATATTTAGCCCCACCCAAACTCCAGGGTCAATAATTTGGGAAGAAATCTAAATCCACAATACTTAAGAATGTTACATATTAATATTGTTTAGTGTAATCTTGCTAATCTTGAAAGAATTCTGATCCAGGATTGTAAGACCGTGCTACCTACTGCCAGGAGCACTGTTCTAAAAAAAAAAAAACTTGAACTAAATGAGGATGCTTGCAAATCTTGACTTTCCATTAGATTTTTCAATTAAATTACCTTGTGAAATTTTGATTTTTTGTTGTGGCCCCATTACACCCCTGGAGGCCATGATTTGAACAAATTGAAATCTATTCTACCAGAGGATGCTTGCATATATTAATGTGACCGCGCTCTCAGATGTCTGGGACATAATTCGGCGGTGCACGTTCATTGGGGAATTTAGCTCAAGGGTTTGGGGAATGTTAGGAAGCACATAAGTCCAAATTTGTAGGGTAACAATGACAGTTTATTAAAGTAACCGTGAATTCCAAACAACATAAAAACATAAAGATGCAAGTCCAAGTCCTAACTAAAATTTAGATAAAGCTGGCCTAAATAGAAATAGAATCTTAAAAGTTTCTTAGTCTAATTCCTACATGGTTCTTAATTAACACATCAACTCACTAGCTCTGTCACTCTAGATCTCCCTTAACTCTCTGTATTCTCAAATATATATTATTAACTAATTGTAAGAAATTACTCAATGTAAATATAGCCAAAGGGCAAAACTTGTCAACTAAGTAATCTGAACAATGGAATACTCAAGTGTCATCCTTTGATGTCAGGAAGTCAAAGAAGATTTATTTAATTAATCTAACACCTAATCAGTGACCATTGCCATCAGGCAGTATGAGTGTAAATGATTTACAATTGCTAAGAAAGCACTAAATATTTCTGGGGATTAAGAATTAGCCAGATGTAAAATGTGTTGGTTTAATTTCATTACTTGTGAACAAATAACTTAGGATATCAAGAATTTATCAAAGTAAATGAATTTTATGAATGATATTAAAATTATAAGTAAAATTATTATCTATATTAAAATAAGTATCAAAAGTGAAATGGGAGCCATTTCACTGGTGATATGCTCCCCCTACTTCACCAAAAAGATTTCTCCTGAAATCTTAAAATACCTAAACTTCCATAATTACAAAAAATCATTATAACCCTACTTTTTTTTTAAACAAACAGCTACCAAATGTATAACTACATATATACACAATTGTATCTGATAGCCTAACCAGGTTAAATTTCTTGAAGAAAATTTTCTTAACCTAAAGGTATTGTAGGGTCAGAAAGTAAGAATGAAAAGTTCATAAGAACAATTAACAACCAAAAATATATACATAAATAGCATCCTAATTGGTAGGAATTATGCTAGAATGAATGTAAGTAATGATAAGTATGTTTTACATATATATATACAAGGGCCCACAATAAAATCTTTTACGACGAAAAGAAAATGATTAAGACTTGCATGTACAATGCAATAAAAAATAAACATTGAAAACAAATAAGCATGCTATTAAAAGTGTCTTTTGAAATTTGTTCATTTGAATAGTACTTTGGAGTTCATTTGCAAATTCATTTGGAATACATTGTTGCACAACAATTAAGCACAATTATATAGTTCATGAATTGGAATATTCTTATTCATTCTGAAATAAGAACTGTGTCCTTTGAAATCTACATGTTTCTGGATTGGAATATTTGCACTGAAAAATGTCCTTCGAAATGATTCATTGGTATGTCCTTCGAAAAATTCTTTGGGGTTTCTTTGAATATGCATCGTTGACTGCTTGCACTGTATCCTAACATCCCATTGGGAGTTCCATTAGGATTCAGCAGTAGTTATCATGACATCTCAGTAGAGAGTTCCATCATGATGTAAAAGCAGTCAATGTATCATGACATCCCAACAGGGAGTTCCATCATGATTAGTGATTACCATGACATCCGCAAACTGGAGTTCCATCATGGTGATATAGTACAGAGTCACTAGTCATAACACCCTTAGGAAGGAGTTCCATCATGACCAAAATTCACAGACAGCTATGACATCCCTGGCTGGTACAGGGAGTTCCATCATAGCACAATTTTGATGACCTTGGGAAAAGAAGTGGGTTGATCAGCATAGTTTCCTGCAAAACTTCTGGAAAAATGAACTGTCAATGAATCACACACAAATCATTTGTAGTCAGGGAGAGTGACAAGAAAGTACAACCACCAAAAATGTACATGTGACACAAGAAGCTATACCTACAGATTACTTTTACTTAAATTTAAGTGTGAAATTCTTGAAAATAATTTAACCCGTACGAACAAGTGAGGCGTAAACCAGCTGGATGAGACATGGAAACCAGCTGGTTTCTAGACGGAATTCAGAATTACGTGTCTTTACCAGGCGTACATGAGCAGGACACGTATTCCTGCTCTTTGCACACACGGAATACGTGTCATTTTCCGCCTCTTGGGCCAGGCGTAATTCTTGTATCAGGCGTAATGCTGAACTTAGTAAAATTGGTAAGGCGTAATGTTGGACTTAGAAAAATTGGTGAGGCGTAATGTTGGACTTAGAAAAATTGGTGAGGCGTAATGTTGGTCTTAGAAAAAAAATAGAAAAGGTACAATGTAGGCAAAACATTATATTTCACTTTTCTTTTGTTAACAATAAATCCATTGGCAATATTTACAGTGAAATACTTTATAGATTAGAAAACTTTAAGATAAATATTTCAGCATTTGTGTTTGTCCTTCCCAACATCATTGTTGAGCTAAGATAATTTCTAGCTGAAATTACAGTCCCATCACAGATGTCCTTATAAGTTCCACCAGCTATATTTCTGTTAAACCACTCTTGCATTTTGCTTTAAAAAATCCATCTTGAAAAATAATGGATTGTGGAGTAGATTTATAACAGGTATTTCCAGAAAGAAGTTTTTGGTTTCTTGAATGGTGTTTGACAAAATTTCTTTAGACAGATGACACAATCAACATTTTATTGGCCCCTAAACAACGATGACAATGAAAGTGGTAAGCACTGTCACAAAGGTTCCTTAGTTTTTTGTTTTTTTTTTGGACAACTGTTAAATGCATATATGTCAAATGGTATATAAAATGTGTTCTGCTAGCATCACATCTGAAATTATGTTCAAAAGTTGTTGGATTCATCATCTATTATTGGTGCAAATCACAGCAAGCACTAACATGAATACTCTTATTGAAATACGGATGTTACAGAGCAAAGAAAGAAGTTGGAAGTCTTGATCATCATGCTCCGTAACATTGCAATTTCTTCAGTGATATCATCCAAAATGTATTCCTCTTCATCAGATAAATCAGAAAAGAGAATACTTCCTCTTCATTATCAGAAAAATCCTCATCACTAAATTTTATGTATCTTTTTGGCAGTTGGGGTTCTTTGTTTCTTAAATGTTGTCATGTTACTCATCAAATGGTCCAGCACAGACTCTTCATGGTCAGACATCTAATTCAAGAATAAAACACTACTATTACCCAGTTAATCAAATGCATGCAAGTGAACATTAATTTAATCGACTAAAATATATATATTTTTAAAAACCAGAAATTGGTGTGTAGGTTGTATTGTTACAAGCTAATCAATATGTACAAAAAAATAATTAATTTTCTTTAAACGTATTGAGAAAAAAAAAATCGATGAGAACTCATTCGTATTTTTTTTTCTCTTGCTTTACATGTACTGTATGACTATCAACAGCTGATCAAGTAGCAGGGATCTAATCTGGGTCCCTGCAATTTGCAAGAAGTATATAATTTGTAATCTAATAGTAAAGCGATACAAACAAAACAAAACAATGTTATTTAAGGTGACCTACCTCGCTCATGATGATTATTTCTGCGCCTTCGTCTTCTAACTTCAGAGTCGATTTAGTTCCGAGATAATTCGGGTTGCAATCTGTAAAACGGAAGTAACATTCTATTAAATTGATTGTCGATCCCGATATATGTAGGTCGATCTTTTTAAAAAAAAAAAAAAAAAAAAAAAAAAAAAAAAAAAACAACTGTAAAATACTTACCGATATCAGTTTCCTAGAATCTTCTACGGTTTTCTCGCAATCAATGATTCCTGTTCTTGTTATTTATGTCTCGGCAAATTTACACATTTCGATCACAAATTCTGTACCTTGTAATGCATCTCATATTTTAAATCTCCATCGTTCTATAAATTAACTTGAGCTGAAATTTGCTAAATTTTACAAACGCTTTCCGTAAGTAACCTTCTTTATTTTGTTTGGTTATTCCATGATTTTCCAATGTGCCGAGAACAACTGTAAACAGTCAAGTCCATGACGGAAAACCGTCCGATCTAAAAGTTACAAGTATTGGATGGAAAATCCGTCCTAAAGAAAAGGATGGTTTTCCATCCTTCAAATGAAATGGATGGAATTCCATCCAAAATTATTAAAATATCCCTGATAGGATGGCAATTCCATCCATACTTCATCATATTTTAAACAAAACAAACATATTAAAATTTCAAAAGCTATTATCACTAATTATTGTAATCACTGGTCAAATTATGGAAGTTTCATTTCGAAGACGCCAAAGATGGCGTAAGAAAGTTCAAAGATTAAGAAGAGAAAGGGGATGGGACAACGTATCGGACAAAGTTATCCTCTTCTTCTCAACAATTAATGGGTAAATAAGTTTTACATATTGTACCATGTTTACATGTTTTAACAATGATTAACTTGTTAACCGTACACATAGTAAGCTTTATGCATTTTATATGATTGGTTTCTTCAGCTTTTCAAACAATTGTGAAGTGTATATTGGTAAAAGTAAATCTTAAATATTATATTTTAGTTCTAAGTTTTGAAAGTAGTACTCTAGCCTTAACCATGTTAACACAAGATATATAAACAAGATATTTTGCCCTTTTAGATACCATCACTTCAGAATCATGCCAACGCAGTTTAGCTGGAATCATCCATATATGATGGAATGCATTCCCGAGCCTACAAACAGAAGGGACCCTCTAGCTGTCTTAGTGAAAGAAATGGGGGTAAACATAACAATTGGACGGGTTCCAAAGGACATATGCAATGTCATTTCCCTTGAGATGAGAGTGACACAGAAGCTTAGGAGGACATTTTGTCTGTATATTGGGACACACCATAATGAAGGCCCAGTACCAAGTGGGGGACTGAAACTCCATTGTGTTTATGTGTTGGAGTTTAGCAATGACACATCTTACAGACGACTTGGGGAAGTTGCCAGTTTTTTGAGGAGACATGTACCATCTTCATACATATATCTGTGACAGTTAAGAGACTTGTTGGCATAAGTATTATGATCACTTTCATTTCATAAGCATGATAAGCATAATCATCGCTGTTGTTATTATCATATTCTACATCATGTACATAATTTTGAATGAAAAACATTTGACATGTTTGAATGCTTTATTCATTTTGTTTAATCAAACAGAAGTAATTTCTTCAGAAACCACATTCAGTAAACCATCTGACACAGACAAGAGGGTCAACTGTTCACATAAAATGTTACCATGGTTACCTTATTTTGTGTTATAGAGTAATGCTACAGTGAATCCAGGAGGAAAAAAACCAAATTGACAAATATACTACAAATGATGTGTGAAATAAAGTCATGTAAATGAACAATTTAAAACCACTATTTGATTGATCAAATTTTAAAAAAGTGCAGATCATCAGAGGAAGGTTCTAGTTCCTATATTATCACAATTATTTATTTGGTATTAATCATGTTTATAAACATTGTTGAATAGGAAAAGTTGAAATTATATAGGATAAACATGACAAAAACACTGTTGGCAGGTAAATTCAATATTTCAAACAAAATTCAAACATTCCTTTACCAAAAGTTCAACAAAGATCACCCTAACTTGCAACATAAAAAAAACTAAATCATCCAAAATACTAGTGCACATGAAATGAAAACAAAATCTTTCCATTCTAACATTGGTTTTAACATTGTTGTACACTTCAAAGTAAGTCTACTGCTTCTTGCTTCTTCCTCTGCCTCTTCCCCTGCCTCTTCCTCTTCCTCTTCCCTGCTTTTTTCCCGATTCCTCCACTGATGACGTCTCTTCCTTACCTTTTTCTAATTCTTCTAATCTTCTTTTCACCGGCTTTCTTTTCTCTCTCAGGAAAATCCTGGATTTCAAATTTATTACAGTGTCTTTTGAGATTGCCAGTAAGTCTTCTCCACCTGTAGGAATCATGCTTGTCAGTTCCAAATGTTGTTGCTCTTTGACAGGCATTTGAGAAAACCCTGGGAGGAAACCCAAACCTGTGCCATGTGTTGCTTTGTATGGCGATGGCTGCACAACGTTTTGTTTAATTTTAGCTTTGTTTATTTTTTTTAGAATGGATTCTTCTCTTGTTTCAATCATCGAGTCCTTGAAATCAATAATGTTTTTGTTTTCTTTAAAGTTCCTAACGAAGTCTTCACTTCCTGAGAAATGCACCTCTGCACCTTTTTGGATAAGTGCAAAATACCTCACGTCTTGATTGTCGTTGGCAAACGCAGCCATTTTCTCAAAAACTTTCAGTCCCCTACTCAATCTCTTTCTCTCCAAATCTTTCTTCCTTCTGTGCATGTCTGTGGGTGTCCCTGTTTTCTTTGTGACAAATTTCCCACTTTCTTTGTCTCTTATTTTTTCTACAACAAAATTTGAATATCAGATGCTGCCAATAATGTCAATATTTAAACACACCCTTTACCAAAATAATAAGCATCTTCTGAATTATTATCAGTTCACTGTTGATGATTTGTCATTTTTCTAGGAAAAATCATGTTAAGGACAAAAAAAATGAATCTACATGTATAATAAACTACTTATTTTGATAATTTAGATGTCAGACTTACTAGCTGCAGGAGTTGCAACAGTGAATGTCTCATCATCTTCTTCAGTTTGTTGTGGTTGTGGAATATTATCTAAATTTTTTAATTTAAAATACTCATATTAATTCATTTAGAATTGTGTAGCAAAACACAATAAAATAGGTGTCACAATGTTAAATTTATTTTTATTGTTAATAAATAACCTTTTTTTTAAAGCAAACCAAGAATGAATAAATAATATACCAGTGCTCTGCATGGTAACAGTCAGCAAACTCTCTTCCTCACCATCAAATGTTATATCTGGATCTAAAAAATAGGGAAAAAAACAAATTATACCTTAGATAAAACAAGGTTTTACAAGATACATTTGCTTGACATTTAAAACCGACATATGATATAAAAAAGATTAATGATTTAAAATTATTTGAAAAAAAAAAAACTAACCAGGGGCTGAAAACTTATGCAAATAGAGTTCTGTGCTTATGGTTGGAATCAAGGGTGCATCTGTGCTTATGGTTGGAATCAAGGGTGCATCTGTGCTTATGGTTGGAATCAAGGGTGCAGCTGTGCTTATGGTTGGAATCAAGGGTGCAGCTGTGCTTATGGTTGGAATCAAGGGTGCAGCTGTGCTTATGATTGGAATCAAGGGTGCATCTATGCTTATGGTTGGAATCAAGGGTGCATCTGTGCTTACGGTTGGAATCAAGGGTATACCTGAAGTATAAAGAGTTTAAATTAAATAGAAGAAAACATGCATATTTTTAAGGATGTCAAATAATAACAATTATTATGAAATACATAAGGATACCGTGATTAATTGCCGGGGCTTCATCATGCTCATTTTCCTCTGCGAATGATTCTGTTAATATAAAATAAATTAAGATTTGTTTAAAGTAATATAAAAAATACAAAGCAATTAAAAGAAATTTACATTTTTTTTTACCAAACTGAAGAAAGATGTAAAACATGTATAAAGAAAAACAAAACAACATACCCATACTCTGCATGTTCCATGTTATAACCGGTGACAGTCTATCTTCTTCATCAAGACCAGTACCAGATGCTAAAGGTAATTCTTGGAAGATAAGACAAATATTAAACCTTTTCTTGCTAATTGTAGATTTTTCACAAAGATTTTGAAACATCTTAGATTTATATTACCTGTAAATATTTAAAGTATAGAATGTGAAATTGGAATTGAAAAGAATTTACATAATAAAATTACCTTGCATATGACAAGATGATGATTCTTGTTGAGGAAAATGACCATCACCATGATCCCTCTCACCTCCAAGGATCAGATCTTGTAGCACTTGAAGATTGTCATTCTGACTGGTTAGATCATACTCATCCAATAACTTGTCTATGAATAAGCAATAAGGTAATAAGTATATCTGAAAATTCAAATCTGTATAGTAAAATATGTTACTTTTTTCCAAACTGAAAATATTGTTAAAGTTATTGAAACACCAAGGCAAGGAACTGTTAAATTAAATATACTACATTCTACACTGACTACAATCTGAATATACCTGCTTTAAACAAATCTAGTCCTGCTCCATGTCTGGTTCATTATGAAATGGAACATGCTCTTCGTTGATGGTTGGCAATTGTTGGGCTACCGCCTGTGATACTTCTTCCAAAAATATTAAATGTTGCTCTTTTAAATTTGATTTAACTTTTATAAGTCTGTCAAATAGCTTCATAAAGTCTTTTTTAGAGTTTTCATGTAGCAGTTCAATGATATCCAATATTTTGTTGTCAATTTCTTGAACAGAGAGTGCCGAATCGGCTGAAAATTTGTCTCTTTCATCCACAGTGATGTACACCGGGTGATGCAAAGTTGGATCATTCGGGGGAGTTTGATGAAGTATCATATCCAATATTCTATAGGATCTCTTTCGATTTGCTTCTGACGTAAAATTCACCAGTTCCTGACATAACACATGTCCACTTAGGGATGTAAGTACTGGTCCATGGCAGTCCGATTCAATATACTTTGATTCCCTCAAATGACATCTCCATTCCTTGATTGCACTTTCAATTTTCAATTCTCTATCATTACATTCGAGTGATTCTACACCAGCCTGAGCTAAAACATTTTTCTTCAAGCTTTTTAGCGATTGATGATTCCGACAAGTAGCTAACCACGATTCATCACTTGGAACTCCTCTTTTCAGCCATCCTTTCACATTCTTGTTTTCTTCCTCAAGCAGAAAATCTAAGCCTTGACCTTTGCTTTTGTTCCCAGACTTTGACAAACTGCAAAATTGTTCAAAAAACTGTTTCATAACATCGGGCAAAATTCGACGAATAAAAGTTTCGTAGATTTCTATTTCTTGGTACTTAGGATGATTCCTCCCATGAAAGAGTTCTTTTGTCATCCATTTTGCTGACATCAACAACTGAGGATTATTTCGCCTTACAGCAGCACGTAAATTTATTATCCCTTGTGAGTACTTGCAAACCATCTCAAATAAATACATAAAATTTACATTACATTGAGACTTGTCATATTGTTTCACAAATGAAATGAAACCATGAGCAGTACAGTCAAGACTCTTTTCAAAACAGTCTATGACATAAGGCCGGACCAGTTCCATCATTGAGCCAAAGTGAAATGCATTTATGAGCTGCCATGTTTTGTGGTTATCAGTACATTGTTGAGCACAATGCAATGCCTTTTCTGATTTCCAACCCATTAACTCAACAAACTGTTTCATGAAGACAGACCAGTTAAGTTCCATAAAGCTTTTCATCAGGTTCATCTCATAATGTCCTTCGCCAGTTAACAAAAATACCCAGTCAAATTCTTTACTGAAGTAGGGAATTGTTCCAGGATGTTTCTTTTTAGCATGGTTTTGAGCTTCTTCGATTCCAAGATATCCCTCTTTACATAGAGAACATATGAAATACTCTTCCACTAAACGCCTTACAAGGGAATGTGGAAGTCCATCACAGCAAACAAAAGTCCATGATCGTATGTATACATCCTCCTCCTGCTCTTCTGATATGTACTTTCTTATGTTTGCTTTCTTTCCTATGAATCTTAAGATGAGAATCATACTTTCTATTGAATTAGGATTGACAAAGACAGGATCTAGCAAAGTAACTTCCACAGGATTACCAGAGTGAAATGATTGAACATGAGCATACTGCTGATCAGGCTCCACACTTTCCTTTTTACTACCAGCATGTTTTTCAACATTTGACAATCCATGATGTCTACAATAGCTCGTTACATTTTTTACTTTTTCCTGGCCCAGCAAAGTATTTTTGGCATTGTTGGACTTCTTTTGAATGGATTGACTGTTCTTAGTTGTTTTCTCCTGACAGTTTGGACATTTTCTTGCTCTTTTCCCAAACTTTGTGTGACATTTTTGGCAAGTTTGATTACAGAGATTTTCCATTTTCTTTGATATTTCAAGGTCAAGTGCATCCTGCCACTTTCCTGACTCATCATTTTGATGCAGTTCTTCTTTCACGTGTCCTATTACATTGTGCAAATGATGATACAGCTCTTCATAATGAGTATCAATCAATAGTTTGTTAAATGTGTTTCTATCATCCTCTGGATTTTCACACATTTCCTTGACTACTTCATCATTTTTCTCAGAAGTTAACCATAATTTTGGACTATACTCTGGCATTTCTTGAAGAGGGGAAATTGTTGGAATTTGTACAACTGCTACATTTGTGATCACAGACATTTTGACTTTGTTTTGAGCATTTATGTTCCATGTTTTTCCAATTACTTGTTCGTTGTCAAATATAAAAGCAACATCACCTTTTGGACACGGTGATTCAGTATTTTTTTCTGTTGAGTTTAGATATGATGAAATGTATGAGTATTTCCCTCCTGGAATGGCTGTACCAAGAATGTTACAGGCTTGTCTACTCTTTGTGCAGGAAAATGTCACTAAATTTTGCATAAACGACCATATTCCTATGAAATCTTTCTCAATCAATCGGTAAATTGATTCTATAAGGGGGATTATCGTTTGGATTTGTACAGTATCTTTGGTTTGTCTTGTTATTGATAGCAAAATATGGAGAAGACGAGAATCTAAAGCAGAAAGATATTCATGGGGGTAAAAATTGTTCAAGCTTTCAATGTTTCCATGTGGATATTGACAGCTGACTGTGGCAATTTGTTCTTTTAATAAAGAAAGAGGCATATATGACTTCAAAATTTTTTCGACACAAATATTTTTTTCCTCCATATCCAACTGTTCAAACTGTTGAATTATCTGCTGTATCTTGAATTCGGAACAAGTTTTGTCTTGGCTTCCTGATGCCTCATTCTTATCTAATGTGTCTAATGTGCATATTTCACAATTTTTCTCATGCTGAATAAACAGTCGGGGTGTTTTCTTTTTCTTCTTATCCAATTGTGGAGTTATTCGTGGCTTTTTGGACTTCTGCTGTCGAGTATCTGATTTACTTCTATATAAATGACACCGACAAGGCTGACACAGGAATTCTGGATGAACAGATGGTATATCTTTAAAAACATCTATGTCATATAACTGAAGAAGTTCCATGGAAAAGTTTGTTTTACTAGTACGTTCATTGGATTTTGTTGAATTTCCACATAATCTGCATAATTTCTGTAAGTTGTTAACATGCTCTACAAGAATGAAAAGTGAAATAGAAACATTTTTTTTAATCAAAACTGGTGTGTATTAGTCTCTAATCTAATGGTTGCATTGTCACATGTGATTTTTTCATTTATATTGAGAGTGTAAAAATAAAATAGCCACTGAAAATATTTAAATGGCCAGAGTTTTATATAGTTAAACATTTAAACTTTTAAATGATTTTTTAACAAAAAAAAAAAAAATAAAAAAATAAATAAATAAAAAATACACATTGACAGTATCCTTAATATACTAAGTGATAACCAACATGCAGATCTACATGAACTTCCATGCTTAATACCATGCTTAATACATATGTATAAACATGATAAATGAATCTAACCATGCATCAAGCTGACATTTTAGGTTTTTAATACATGTTGTCAATCACATCAACACATATCCCTTTGTGTTTTAATAATGGTAATCTGACTGCCTGGTAACCAAAATATCCTATGTATCTGAGTATGATACTGAGCTGGTGATATCTGCCACATGAACATAATGAAGTGAGGCTTTATGGTAATACATATCATGCACATACATGGTATAAAAAATCCAAACATTTGCTGCCGTTTTGTTATTTGACCATCAAATAGTTTGTTAAATGTGTTTCGATGTATATTGCCTTTCACTGTCCCTGATTCAAGAGACTTTTTCTAATGTATTTCCAGAGATAACAATTTTTTTAACAAATAAGATACATGAAGTAGAATGACGATAAATTTTTAATACATGACTTATTTAACATATGACTTTAGTTACCAATTTAATGGATAGGTGTATATTGCCTAAACATCACATACATCAAAGAATTACCCTCTTTAAGTAATAATTAGGGAATTAATTTTTTTTTTCGATAAACATAAGTACATCTAAGTTTTACATGTTTTTGAAAACAAACACATGTATATATCAGGATTTGTTTTTGTTTGGTTCTTTGAATCTTTCCGACAAAAACTTGTTCTCGTTTCAGAGGGAATACCTGACATTGATAATGTAGACTGAGCATGCCAATGTTCAGCGATGAAATCTAACAAATAGTAAAATATGTACATGACTTATGCAGATTAAACTGTGTAATCATGGTAATGTTACGATGAAGTGAGTTTTGTTAAAATCTGCACTTGGTCCAACAGTCACACTGTTTACATATCATTACATATCATGCATATTATTAATAATTCATATTGATTTTTTTTTGCTAAGCATGCTGACATGAACATAATGAACATGGCTAAGACATGTAAGAGGTCAAGAGCATGAACCAATGTGAACATGATGAAGAAGGTAGTTGAGGCATTATCATGATTATGTATCAATATAAAGCATGTAAATGATAAACAAATGTATAAGCCTAAATGCAGGAACGTTTTAAGTTTCTAGACACATCATAAAACATAACAGTTTTTACAATGTTCACATGGTTTTCATTGTTTCACAGTTGCAATACAACGTTGGGATGGTTTTTCCGTCCTTAAATTAGTTTAACATTAATGGACGGTTTTATCGTCCAACTAATTTAAATAATTTATTAGACGGGTTAACCGTCCAAACGTCAAAAAAAAGGGCTCTGACCTATATAAATCGCCATCCGATCGGTGTCCGATCAAGTACTTTCTTATTTACTATAAATCATTTAAGTAAGATATCTTAAATTCTAAATCAGTAAAGATTCTGGTTATTCAAAATTTACAACTTTTTATATGATACAAACTACATAAAACATCGTTCAACTTACCCACTATCGCTCTGTCGTGCTCTTGTTGTTCATCCATTTTGAAGCTATCACGTGACCGGCCAGGGCTTTGTAAAACTCAGAGCAAGTGCGGTTGTACTTTATTCATAAAGATTTTCCGGAATTCTTACGACTCATCCTTACCATGCTTACACAGCTTTGTTTTTATAATAAAAACCGCGATTTAATGAACTTGAATGATAGGACGGGAATTCCGTCCATTTCAATTGGACGGTTTTCCGTCATGGACTTGACTGGTAAACTAAGGTGTTTTCTCAGAGGCCAAGGGGAATCGCCTTACAAAATGATCTCAGTGAAATTTATTGATCTACATATTGATTTTGCATTTAAAAAAAAAAAAAATCGACAAATTAATACTAAAAGAACGCATTTTATTATTTTGAGAGACGTTTTTGGGGAAAAGTTTGTAATAGCTTTTGTATCGATCCCGTCGTGAACCTCAACAGTAGAGCATCTTCGAACCGGGGCTGCAGAAACTTGATATCCCACGCTATCAAAATCCCGCCCGCATGGTCATTTCAAATTCTGTTGCTTTGAAAGAAACATTGCCCTGTCGATTTCTACTTGTTTCTGACAACTTGGTTTTACTTGAAAGTGAAAATACTTCGATGAGGATTGCAGTTTGACTGTCGTGGGAGAAAAAGACAAAACGTTGACAATAAGGACGGAATCCGAAGTGAGATACCATGCCATCATTCATGGCCCCATCATCAATGTAAGAATTTTTTAGATTTTCATACTCCAGCGAGGTTAACACTTTGAAATATACCATATAGTATTATCTATAAAAATTTAAGAAATGTGCTTTTAAAATCATTCTGTTAACATGGTTAATGATTAGATTACATGTAGCATGCGTGTTTGTTTACGCTTGGAGACCTGTCGTATTTGTAAACTACTGCTGTTGTATACTCCATGATTTTTTTTTTAAATTATCTTTCTATCGCATAATTATCATTTTTAGTATTTATCATTTCGAAAAAATATATACAAAACAAAAAATATACGAGACATTTTCCACCTTTTTTTTTTTTAAAGTCGGGTTCAAGATGAGGGAAATATAAAGTCGCA